ACCTGGGTACTCATCTCATCCCCCGTGTATATCCGGGCATATTCCTTCCTTCCCTCCCTTCCTACCTCCACCGTGCCCCACGATGTCTTTATTCCTTCTGAGCAAGTCTACTAGGGGCCATCCTTGTCTCCAAGGATCTCCAAGATTGAGATCCAATCTAGTTGGCCAACGTCAGGTTTTTGGAGACTCCGGGAACGTAGAACAGTGCTGAAGAAGGATTTGATGGAGTACAGATGTACTTGAGAGAGAGACTGAGAGAAGTACCAGTAGAGTGGCCTAAGCTGACCTGTGGGAGGCACCAGTGGGGGGGGGGGGGGGGGAGAAGGCGGAAGCTAATAAGCCACAGGTGATTTCCACCTTTTTGACAATTTCGTCCAGGCCCTATGTGCCCGGCCACCTCTGCAGGGAAAATGAGGCTCCCTGAACTGATCTCTCCTGGACACCTTTGGCCCCCTACGTTCTTACCCAGCAGGAACCGTGCATATTTCTGCTGGCCTTCTGTTGGTGCCCATGTTAAACCTCTGGCTAGAGTTTCCAAAATTAAGTGTTTATAACAGCCTGCTAGATTTCTTTGGGAAGAGTAATATATTTATGTATTTTACATGTATATATATTTAGAATATACACATTTAGATTACACACATACATATATTCTTTGTTCTTCTCATGCCCATTTTATGAGGCCGGATTATACTCTCATAATCTAGACCTTTTCCAAGAAATCCTTGCCCTTTTTGTCCTTCTGGACTAAAAATGTAGAAAGGGAAGAATCACCATGTCATTGTTCAGACAGAACCAGAAATAATACTGACTTCAGAGCTGAACTTGGCCCCTATCAGAAGGGTAGCCTTACTCTTCTCATTATTTAGGGGGTGGGGAAGCCATCACATGCTTTCAAATGCATTTTAATGAATGTTCATATGGTTGTGTGGATCACATTGGTGGCTCTGTCGGCCTGCTTATGAAATGGGACTCTGCAGGCATTCGGGGATGGAGATGGTCATTCTTTTCTAAAAGATACCAGGGAACCTTCCTTACTTCCCCACCCCACCCTGCCCACCCCCCCACCACCAAAGGCTGACCTGTGAGGGCTCAGGCTGGGAGTTGGGACACCTGGGGTCTAGTGTTCTTGTCCACTAACTAGCTGTGTGACCACAAGCAAATCACATCCCATTCTGTTTTCTGTAAAAAGAGAAGGTTGAGATGTGATCTCTAGAAATCCTGTCACTGTCTACTGATTTACTTATTTTTTTCTGATTTGTTTATTATATATAAAAAAAAATCTCACAGTTAGCGGGACCATGTACAATATGTGGCCTGAGGAAAGAGCTGCTAGCTGGGACCAATAGTTTGCTGTCACAGAGTCCACAGGCTGGAAAACGGCACATGTGCAAAGCTGGAAGGGTTTTTTAGAAGGGTCTGGAAGCTTAGTGAGGGACCCGCCACCAACAACATGACATTGAGAGGGAAGTCGTTCCAAACTAGCAGCTTCCGTTGCACTTGCTCTAAAATGGTGGCCTTGGGATTAGTCTAATTAGTGACGCCGACCTCAGCCCAGCACCCGCTGGCCCAGGTGACCCGGCCAAGGCACCAGTGTGGCACTGGTCGGGGGGGGGGGGGGGGGCCCAGCTGGCTGTTGGACATAGAGATGAGTAACACATCCTGGGACGGCACGACGGGAGGCATGGAAGCCAGCCTGTAGCTAGCTAGGGGCAGAAGTCAGTAGACCTCCATGCCTCGGTGAGCACCTCTGTGTGAACACAGCCGCCTTCCCTTGGCCTCGTGCAGGCTTGGCTGCGGTTCTGGCCATTCAGCCAGGGTGCTTCAGGCTGCCTGTTGAAAGCCCTCGGCATAAAACCCGAAACACGGGGCCGAGGCCTCCAACAAAGCCAAGTCTCTCTTAAGTCCATTGAAAAAGGGAAGCGCAAAAGAGACCCCCCCGCCTGCCCTGTTGAAGTCACGCCTCAGCCGGCACCGCCCCCGCACTGCACCCCAAGGGACAGCAAGGCCAGCCCGGCCCCTGATCAGGCATCCTCCCAAAGTGTCCAGTGAGGCGTCCAGCTGCCAGCTTCGAGCAGCAAGGGCAGCACCCACTCGCGCAAATTGGATTCGCCAGCAGTGGGCTAGCCCTCAACACCCTGCAGGGGCGCCCCGGGGTCCGCTTTGTTGTTGAGGAGCCGGCTGGGCCCCAGCATTGGAACTGAGGGGGGAGCATTGGCTCGGGGGCCTGAAGAGTTGGATGCACGGGCCCTCTCATTTCGGAGAGTTCGAGACTGCTTTCCCTTGCCAGTGGTTCCTCCTAGGAGCTGTAGCATCCCGTGGTCGTGCCCAGCCTTCCCCCACCTCCCAACAAAGTAACGGCAGACAAACGACTGAGGAAAAGGTCCAAGAACCCACAGAGTCTGCCAGGGATTCCAGGCTGCTGCAGCTAACAGCCCCTGGCCCCCCTTCCGTCCCGTTCCTCCCACCCCGTCCTCCCCGTGCCTGGGCTACACGGACGCCGATGTCTTTGCACACTGAGCCCGGCCACTGCAGGGGATCTGGGGTGACACCCGTCCTCACTCATCCCTTATTGATCCATTTCATCCATCTCTACTTCCAACATATTGGAATTCTTTGAACTCCTTGAGAGAATGTCGATGAAACAGAATTTCAGTTTGGGACTCAGTGACTCGTTTGTTGGCTGCCCCGTAATTGACTGAATGAATGGCCAGGAAAACACGTAGCAGAGCTCCCTGCGCGCCAGGTCATTTGGGTTCATGTGTCCGTTGATTCATTCAGCTGCTATTTACTGAACACTTGCCGTGGGCCGATACAGAGTCCACCGTCCCTGGAAGGAAGAGTGGGCACAGATGGATGGATTGGCCTCTTCTTGTGCCTGCTCCCCCCTCCTCAGCCCTTTCTTGCCGGCCCCGAGTCCCGAGGCCCCAGGTGGATTTGATGGCAGAGCTGCCCCTCAAAGTGCCCTTGTTCACGTTGCAGAGAAAAGGCAAAGACGGAGGCAAGTTCCCTCACTCTAGCTGGTGGGACCCCTTCTGTGGAAATGAGACCGTGTCCTGCCATCGGGGCCCTTCCCCTTCCCTGGGTGTCAAGGCCCCTGTCTCTCCTAGGACAGGGTTGGACTTCCAAGGCCCTTCCATGGCTGCCCTTGGTAATGGCAGCCACCAGTCAGGGAGGATTTACTGGGCACCACAGAATCTGCTTCTTTTGCTTACTACTCAGAGCAACACCATGAGATGATGCATTTAGAATCAGAATCAGCCCAGGAGCTTTGAAAACACCCCTGGACCCTGCTCTGGATGAGACTGAAACAGTTCATTTGTGTGGGAGACCCTGGGAATCTGGATGTGTCTAAGTGAATCTGGTGAGCACCAAAGCCTCAGATGTGCAGCCCTGGGGGATCTCTTTTGATGTTCACTCTGTCATGAGAGTCATGGCCAGTGGGGTGTTAGCAGGTGGCCCCCCCACACACATTGACCCTACCCCCCCCACCAGTGAGCCAAACATGGGGGGACGTCAAAGGATCGACAACAAATGTCCCAGTGAGAGTTCTAAAGCTAAACAGGGGTTTCTTACATGAAAAATTGCATCAAGAGAAATACAGTTGCCCCTTAAACAACACAGGTGTGAACTACACAGGTCCACTTATATGCAGTTTTCTTCGATAAATACAGGACAGTACTGTAAATGTATGTTCTCTTCCTTATGACTTTCTTAGTAACGTTTTCTTTTTCTCTAGCTTACTTTGTTGTAAGCATACAGTAATAATACATGTAACATCCCAAATCCATGTTAACCGACTATGTTCCTGTAAGGCTCCCAGTCAACAGTAGGCTGTTAGTAGTTAAGTTTTGGGGCCATTTTCAAGGGTCCACCGTATATCTGTTCCACTGTTGGCTGTAGGTGCTTTCCAAGCCCCTCTCTTCCCACACATTCCTCCACTCCACCCCACTCGCTTTTCCCTCTACTTGCAGGTCACGGTCATTAACATGACAGCCACAGATGATTGTACGAAGCCTTGAACGAGTAGGAAATACTGCATCACTAACTGCTTTGTTCCCAAAGGCTATGCTTTTATAAATGGTGAGCAGCTCCCCCAAGGTGCAGATCGCAGATTGGGTCCTTTTCCTGTTGTTCCATATCTCCCCAACCTGAGGATGCATCTGCAGAGAGGAATTTCTTATTTAGATAGCTTTATACTTTGAGGGGGGGAGGGGGGCGTGGTTATAAGTCATTCTCAGTAAAAACAAACAAGCAATACCAAACCATAGAGAATAGAAAGGGCCTCGCCAGTCATCCCCAAGAGATGACTACTCCAAATGGTCGCCTGTATGTTCTTCCAAGTGATTTTTGTATGCACCTAGCAAGGTGTGTGGAGCCCGTGCCCCACTGACAGGTCTGCATCTTGTGTTTCCCCTAAACAGTATAGCTCGGACAGCTACCCGAGAGTACACAGCCGGATCTACTTTCCTCCAAAGGCTCTGTTGTGGTCCATTGTATCACCACAGTCTGATGCATTTAACCAAGTCAGGGAGGCAACCTGCAAGTTCAACGTCTATGTTACGCTTTTCCTTTTTAGAAACGGGGGTCTCTGTAGACAGGTAGGAATCGGAAGTACTTGAAGTATTCGCAGTGTGCCCTACAAACGCCCGTCTGGGGCACAGTTCATTCTGTGGCTCCCGCACAGCTGAGCTGAGCTGAGCTCCCCCTTACTCGGGCAGAGAAGACCCTCTGTGGGACTTCCTGTGGTGTTTCGTACACAGACAGCATAATGTCTAATTTGAAGTGTAACAAGACAGTTTAAATGAAACGTAGCAACAAAGAAGCAAGCATTATGGTTCCCAAAATAGGCCGTATTGTATAGTTTTGACAACTATAAGTCTCGAAACTGAGAGATGTTCTATTTTGCAAGTTTCCTGTTCATTAGCTTTAATGTGCCAAGGCTTTATAAAAATTCCTCTCTCTCCCTCTCTCTTTCTCTCTCTCTCTCTCTGCCACAGGGAACCATTAAGAGGAGACAGGAAGGAGATAATTTCCAGTTTCCAGGCATGGCTGACGGGGGTTACCCTAATAAAATCAAGAGGCCTTGCCTGGAAGACGTTACCCTTTCTATGGGCCCGAGCGCCCACCCCAGCACGTCCTGTGCGGAGCTGCAGGTTCCTCCGCTAACCATGAACCCCAGTCCCTCGGCTGTGGGAGTAACGGGCCATTCGTTGCCACTCGAAGCGAATCCCATGAATGGCAATGTCATGGGCTCACCATTCGTGGTGCCGCCGGCTGCAGAAGTGGGACTGAAAGGGCCCACTGGCCCCTACTATGACAAAGCCAACAGCGTGCCGGCTGTGGACCAGGAACTTCAAGATCTCCTGGAGGAGCTAACAAAAATTCAAGAACCTTCTCCTAATGACCTGGATCTCGAGAAGATCCTGGGGAGCAAGCCGGAAGAACCACTGGTCTTAGAACACCCGCAGGCGACCCTGGGTACAACTGCCAAGCCTCCGGTTCAGATGCCACACTTGGAGAGCCTGGGGTCCAGCAAGGAGTTTGCTTCTAGCTGCAGCCAGCTCCCTGCCGCCGCGCTGCAAGTCCCGCCCTCCCCGGCCGGGCTCGGCTACGCCATTCCCTCCACCAGTAAGCAGGTGGCCTCGCCCAGCTCTCCGGCGGCACAGGCCAAGAGCCAGGTCCAGGGGGTGCTCCCTGTCACTCTGCCCCCGCTCCCGGTGCCTCAGTGGCATCACGCCCACCAGCTGAAGGCGCTGGCGGCCAGCAAGCAGGGGGCCGCTACGAGGCAGCCCGGGCCCAGCCCCGGCTGGCCGGGCCTGCCGCCCCCGGGCCTCTCCCCGTCTTACCGCCCGGTGCCATCGCCGCACCCCCCGCCGCCGCCGCCGCCGCCGCCGCCGCCGCCGCCGCCGCCGCAGTTCAGCCCGCAGAGCCTCATGGTGTCCTGCATGGCGTCCGGCAACCTGCCGGGGAGCGCTTTCCAAGCGTCGCCCAACGCCTTACTCGCCAGCATGGCATCCAGCGGCAGCGCCGCCCTTGGGCCCGCCATGCTCTACACTCCCGAGAAGCTCCCCAGCCCCGCTCTCAGTCAGCAGGCGCAGTTCAGCCCGCAGAGCTCCCTTCTGGCCAACCTGGTGTCGTCTAGTGTCAAAAGCCCGCCAGGACACCTGCTGTCCGCTCTGCCCACCAGCACCCCGGGGCCCTCCCCGCCCTACCGGCCGGAGAAGCTGTCCAGCCCGGGCCTGCCGCAGCAGTCCTTCACGCCGCAGTGCTCCCTGATCCGGAGCGTCCCCCCCTCCGGCAACGCGCTAACTCAGCCGCCGCCGCCGCCGCCGCCGCCCCCCCCCCCAGCAGTCAGCAAGCATCTTCAAGCCCGTGACCGCCAACTCACCCAAAACCCTGAGCATGATCATGCAGCAGGGGCTGGCCAGCCCCAGCCCGGGAGTCCCGGAGCCATTTACTTTTGGCAACACCAAGCCCCTGTCGCATTTCGTTTCCGAGCCGGGCCCCCAGAAGATGCCCTCCATGCCTGCCACCTCTAGGCAGCAGTCCCTGCTCCACTACCTGCAGCAGCCGCCGCCGGCCTCCTCTGCCACCGCCTCGTCCACCACCACTGCCACCTTGCAGCTGCAGCAGCCGCAGCCTGACCACTCCTCGTTCCTCCTGCAGCAGATGATGCAGCAGCCCCAGCGCTTTCAGCGGTCAGTGGCCCCGGACTCCATGCCTTCTCTGCCCAGACAGGTAAGACGAGCTCACGTCTGGTCGCGTTCCTTGGTTTTGGTGGAAATAAGAACCGTGGTCTGTGCTATTGGTAACCTGGCTTTGGAGGCAAGTCAGCCTGTAGTCCTCTCTGAGACTGGACTCGACTCTGGAAAAGTCTATCTAAGCCAGCTAATTCCGTGTGGTCCAAGTGCAGTATTAATGAGGCCAAGGTTATGCTTTCAGTTCCTGTGCAGGCCACTTACCTTCTCTGGGAGGAAAAGTGCCCCCAGAAGGTGCTGCCAGGGGAGGGAGCCAGGGGAGACAAGTCCCTGCACCGGACCGTGCGGCGTGTTCCCTCACACAGGGCTAGTGGAGGCTTCGCAGGATGCAAGGAAATTGCACCAAAGCACTTAAATCTTGTCCCTGCTGGCGTAAGGCCGCACACTGAGCCTTCTCGAAATGGCACAGCAAACTTCTGCCGAGCAGCTCCAGCGGACACTGAGGCAGGTTCTAAATGAAAAGGACAGATACAGAGAAAGTAGTTACTCTTAGCATCTCCATTCTACAAAGAAACTGAGGCTCGGAGCGTTGAAATGACTTGCCCAGAGTCACATAGCCAGGGGCAGAGCAGGAGCTGGAAACCAGGAAGTCTTAGTCCAGAGCCTGTGCTCTTCTCAAAATCACTGTGACTTCTCCCTCTCCCTCGTCTCCTACAATCTGATCACCAGACTCAGCTGGTCCTTCCTGGGTGGTGTCGACCGCAGATGCCCCCCATCATTGCTCCGACCCCTGCCTGTATTGGCTATCTCTTGCCGGGTAACAAATTACTCCAAAACTTCTGCTTAAAACAACACACGTATATCACCTCGCAGTTTCTCTGGGCCGGGAGTCCTGGCATCACCTAGCTGGGTCTTTGGCCTTGAGTCGCTCGTAAGGTTGCATTCATCTCCAGCTCAACCAGGAAGGTTCTGCTTCCAAGTTCACTCCCGAGGTTGTTGGCAGGAAGCAGTTCCTTGCAGGAGGTTGGACTGAGGCCTCAGTTCCTCATGAGCTGCTGGCTAGCAGCCTCCCTTGGTTCCTTGCCATGTGGGCCTCTTCATAGAGCATCTCACAACATGGCAGCCGGCTTCATCTGAGTAAGCAAGACAGAACGTGCCAGCAAGAGAGGCAGAGGGAGTGCCTGCAAGTCAGAGGGCATGGTCTTTAGAACCTCATCTTGAAAGTGACGTCCCATCTCTTCTGCTGTATTCTGTTTATTAGACACAAGCATGAGGGTGTGAATACCAGGAGGCAGGGGTCGCTGAGGACCATGTCAGATGCCTGCCTACCCAGGGCACTGTCCATCCTGGTCCCTCCTTCCCATGGTCTCAGCCCTACCCGAGTTCAGGCCCTCTTGGTTCTTTGTCTGAACTCAGAGTTGACTTTTAAAGTGGTTTCCCAATAAACCAGCCATCACTCAAAACATTACCTTCAAGAGACCCGATGTAACAGGAATCTGATCGTGTTTCACATTTGCTCAGAAGTTTCCGGAGGCCCATCACCTGGCTCCAGCTACCTTCTCGGACTCAGTGTTCATCGGGCCCCGTCTGGCACTTGACTTCTATCATCCACTCTGCATTTTGGGCCTTACTCCTTCCATCCCCTGTGCCTGGCTGTCCCTCCCCACCTTCTCTGTCCTGTCTCACTCCTACAGCTCCAGAGGCTCAGGCGCCCTCCCCTCCAGGAAGCTTCTCCCTGACCGCCCTGAGTACTTCTGTCTCCCACGCTGCCTCCCTCTTCTGTGGAGCAGCCGCGGAGGACAGCTTGGCCCGGGACCGGGCCTGAGGGGGAGGCACCTGTCGCGGCTGACCTCTCTTCTGAGAGCCCTGGATGCCTGTGACCGGGGCAGCCCCTGGAGGATAGGAGCCGTGTCTTTTTCCTCCGGGCCTCACGAAGCATCGGCAAGCAGAGAGCTAGCTCACGCCAGGGCACCGGTTCTTGGTGAGAGGAACGGGCCAGCAGCAGGCCCGTGTGTGCCGTGCTCCGGGAGCACTTGTGTTTGAGCTCGCCGTAGGCCCCCTGCCATCTGTTTTCACAGAGCTCCACCACTGGAGCTCTCACCCTGGCAGGCAAGGGCCTCGGCCTGGGGACACATCACCATCTAACACTATGAGCCCTCTGGGGTTTTTTGGCCTCAGTGGGGTACGTTTGTAGCCTGACTGTGTGGCCTCAGAGGGAGAATCCTTAATGCCTGGAGGCGTGAACATCACACCCAACTGATTCCCTGGGTGAGCTGGAGAAAGTGCTCAGGAGAAAGCCCAGCCGCCAAGCTCCCCAAGGCGACCACCACCAGCACAGGGGAGAGGCTGGGCTCCCCGAGTGGGAGGTGGTTGCTGCCGCGAGGGGCCTTCCCTGCCCGTGCTGGCCCGTGCCCTCGGGCCGGGCTTGCCACTCCGTGCTTCGCCTGCCTTTTCTCATTTTAGTTCTCAGAGACAGAGGCCCTCAGCGCTCCCTGAAAAGCCGAGAAGACTGAGGCACAAAGCAGTCACACAGCAGCTCAGGGCCAGAGAAGGGAGTCTGTCTGTCTGTAGAGCCCATACGTGTAACCCCGTGCGTGGGCTGCTAAGTCCAGAGTCTCCCGCTCCTGCCGGGATCTCCTACAAAAAGGGCGATAGGCTATGATAGGTTGGTTGAGGATTAAACGCATTAATGCATCCGAGGCATGATGAACGGGGCCCAGCCGCACGAAGTACCTGCCAATGGAGATTTGCTATCACTAAGACTAACTCCTGGCCCCGAGTCTCCAGATCCCGTTTCTGGGGGCTGAGAGGTAGTGCTCTCTTCAGACAAGACAGACAGCAGTTGTGGAACCTACTAGCCTCGTGGGTTCTCCCTGTTCCAGGCTCTGCCCCATCGAGCCAGCTCCAGGCCGTGTCCGCCCCGCTGGCGGGGGTCTCTAGCTCACTGCCCCTCGCCCAGCTCCCCATTCGGTCCATGGCACTCTTCTAGCCAAAACGCGGAGTGGGCCTCTGGGCACATCGGCAGCTCTGCTGTTCCTTCTCATGGCCTTTCCCCATTCGCTTGAAGGCCTGAGAGCTCGGCCCTGCTCACTCTTGCAGGGGAACGTGTTCTTGGCCAAACCGAGCCTCGGAAAACCCTCCCGACCTACTACATGGTGTCGGACACTAGCTCGTTTTACCTCCACGTGTGATAATGGTTACCCCAGAGGCACTGGGGCTTCATTTTAACCCAGATTTTGGTTTTTGAAAAGAGTGCTTTCTGAATGTAAGCTGACAAACCCAACTCTTGAGTAAGCAGAAAAGCCAAGTCCAGTCGTCTAGAGGAGCTCCTTTTTATTTGTAGACTCGTATTTCTCAGCTCTGGCAATTTCACTCGACTAGTTAAGTAAACGATCCGATTTCAGCGGGCCATTTGTTTGCACTGAAGGGAAAAGGCAAGTGCCATCTGGCTTCAGGGCGGCAGTTTAGCATAGCAGCTGAAGCGAGGGCGTGGGGGGTTCAAGTCCAGGCACCGACACTGACCGAACTCTGTGCCGGGAGCAATGTCACTCAGCCCCTCTGAGCCTCTGCTGCATTTGAGCCCAGGAGGAGTGCTGGTCTCTTGCGACATTGGAAGACAAAGGAGGCGCTGAATTGCAATTACTCAGAGCCGGGCCCGGCACACGCTTCGTGGTCAATCAGGGCTAGTGCAGGCCCCGGGCTGGGATCTGCCACCTCGGAGGTCAGATGCAGTTCCAAGTTTAGAACGTTTGGGACTTTAGAAAGGTAATATGGTGCATTTGCCAAATATCACACAAGCGTCTGGTGGAACCTGGGGCAGCATTTCATTATTCTTGCGGAGAAATATGAATATTTAACTAAGTCCACATCAATTTTTGTCCCCAAATAAATTTTGATGCCAATTTTACCAAAATAAAATAGGCTTTCCGAGCTTTTTGGGTTTGAAGTTCCAGATGAGGGATGTGGACCTGGAATTATGAAGGGAGGGACTCTTTGCAGTCGGGACACCCAGCCCTGGTGTGTTAGATTGTAATGATCCCCAAATCTCCCCACTCTACTCCCAAGGTTGGGTGACATCTCTGTTCTTAATTGAGGTGAATTTTGTTTCCATAACTTAGGGCTCTTCTCCCTGAAGGCTTATTGGAGATACTCACAAAAATCAGTTAGGACTTCAATTTTACCACCAGCCGCTGGTGAATGGAACTTACATTTGCTCAGGGATGAAAGCAGGTCCATCAAGGAGGTAGCTTGAGGGCCCTCAGTGCTCATGGTTTGCAGAGCTGGGAGTGCGGCATCCTGGGGAGGAGGGATGTGGATGAGGGCCAGTTGGAATAAGAACAAAAAGGCCTGAAATCTGATCCTTGAGGCAGGCCGAGACACAGGGGAAGGGGGCAGCTGTGGAGAAACAGACCAAAGAGGCACATGATATTGTTTGGACAGATTTGGAGAAGGGCAGGAGGGGAACCAAGCCTGCCTTGAGGAAGGCGGGATGAGGCCCCTCCTGGCTTTGCTACACTTTCTACCTTTACCGATAAGCCTCCCGTCCCCTCAGCCAGGGCACCGGTGAACACCCAGCAATTGCAGAGACCGGGGATGAATTGAGAGAAGTTGCCATCTTGCCTCCTTGAGGGGCTGGGCCTGCCATGGGGATCTGGGCAGCTTGGTCTGAAGTGGGGCCTGAGGGAGACGGCACAGGGTGGGGGACACGACGGGCTGCGGGGCCAGGGAGGGGGGGTTGCTTGGCAGGGGGCAGGCCCCAGGACTGCTGCTGACAGGCACAGAGAGCCAACAGCAGGGAGAGCACGGGCCAGCCCTGCCGGCCACCCAGCACCAGTGCCCACAGGAACGCGGCTTCTGCTTAGTCACTGGCGTGGGGGATGGGTGTCCCTTGTCTGCATTGTGTTTTTGGAGCCTTGCTCGGGGGCCCCAGATGGATGCCAGCACTCAGAGCACCCATGCTGAACCTGCAGGGGTGCCTCCCCCCCTCCCCCCACCACCACTCACATCCACTCCCAAGCCTCCCACAAGAACCTTTGCAGA